AGCTAACGGAACCATCGGATTTCCATTCCGAGGTCGTCTTCATACTGTTCCGACTACGGACCATTTTTCAACACTTAAGCTCTCATTTAGGGACTAAGTGTCCCAAAACACTCCGAATCCTAATACCGAACGTCCCGGCAAACCAAAATAGCAAAAATGGACTTAGGGGAAGTAGTTAATGAGGGATCGGGGCGTAAATTCCAAAAATGACCGACCGGGTCATTACATAACATATGTATTTACTTTTAAGCCACCGTTTAAAATGTCTTTAGTCTTTAGCCACTGTTTTAATAAACTTTAACTGCCCTGATGAAAATACCCTTCTGCACATGTCCTTAACTTTTGTACTTAACTTCAGGACTTTAGGACTACATGTCCTTAACTTTTGAACTCGGAACTCTAAGTTCAGGACTTCAGGACTACATGTCCTTAACTTTTGAACTTGTAACTCTAAGTTCAGGACTTCAGTACTATATGTCCTTAACTTTTGAACTTGAAACTCTAAGTTCAGGACTTCAGTACTACAGTTCCTTAACTTTCGAACTTGAAACTCTAAGTTCAGGACTTCAGGCTGCATGTCCTTAACTTTTGAACTTGGAACTCAAACTTCAGGACCAAGCGTCCTTAACTTTTGAACTTGTAAGTCAAAGTTAAGGACATATTGTCCTTAACTTTTGAGCTTGTAAGCCAAAGTTAAGGACATATTGTCCTTAACTTTTGAACTTGTAACTGTAAGTTAAGGACTGTTTGTCCTTAACTTTTGAAGGTGTAACTGTAAGTTAAGGATTGTCTGTCCTTAACTTTTGAACTTGGAAATCAAAGTTAAGGACCTATTGTCCTTAACTTTTGAACTTGTAATTATAAGTTAAGGACTGGATGTCCTTAACTTTAGAACTTGTAACTGTAAGTTAAGGACTGCATGTCCTTAACTTTTGAATTACAAGTTCAAAAGTTAAGGACCAAGTGTCCTTAACTTTTGAACTTAATATATATATTTAAATATGTATCTTTCTGATAAATTCAGTTTTTTCTCCGTTTTGACTAAAAATTTATCCAATTTAAAAACCATAGCAGGTAAAAGTCAAAAGAGAAGGAGAATTAAAAAGGTGATCATGACTTAACACCTAATTCCCTCTCCATAGGATCTCAAGGCACAGTACGTATAGTAGTAGTAGCAGTAGACTCAGTAGAAAAAAATATAATGAATTTCTATTGCTTATATGCAGTGTTCTAAGGAGTAGGCCTTGTATTTTTCTTTGACTCAACCTTCCATTCTCCATTAACTACATATTCTGGCGTAGCTTTTTTGAGATCATAAAAAAGGAGTCACTTTTCAATGGCAAAGACAAAGCAAAATATACAGGAAGAAGACGATAAAGAAAAAGAAAGAGAATGAATGTTGGGAATGGAAGAAGAATATGCAGAGAGAATAGCCCAGAAAGAGAATTGAAACTGGCGTATTATCCAACCTGTGATACCACTGTATTTCTGTTTGGGAAGGAAAGGGTAACAACGTCCTTTCATATTAATTTTAATAAACTAGTGGCTACTTTTGCTCAGCATTAAAAATACTGGATAAAAAGTAAATACCACTTTAAATAGTGGCTACCCCATACAATTTTTACCCAAAATTCTAGCCCAGTCTTACTAAATCACGGGCTGGGCCCATATTGACGGCTCCGCTCTATAAATAAACCTTCAAAAAAAAAATTCCCCATTGTAATTGTAGAAACTCATTTTTTTTTTCACTCCTTCACTTTAATTACAGGTTTCTTTTCCGTTTGCCCTTCAAAACCTCATTGTACAATGTCTTAATTACTCTTCATTTGACTAACCAAAGGAGTTACTCTCTCCGATCCAATTTAATTAATTTTTTTTTATCTTTTAACATTAATAACGATAAAATTGACCATATTAACCTTAATTTGTTCATTGAAAATACAAAAAATACTCTTAGGCTTTTCACTCCAAAGGCAACTTTAAAAAAAGAACCTAATTCTTCTTGACATCTAAAAAAACCAAATATTGTGAACCACTTAAAAAAAAGCCAAAAAATTATTTAAAGTGAATAGTAGGGAGTAGTAATATTCAACGATAAGTATAAATTAGAACATCATAAAACCAATTCAAAATCATACATGACAATTAATATGAATTTAATGTGAATTCAGAAACTCAGCTCTGAGTTGAAACTGTACTCCTCTCAAGGCATGAGCAGTGAATGTGAGTGTATATTAGCCGGAAACTAGTTGAGCATTAATTATTCGAACTTGAATTTGATGTTCAAATGAATTTATAACGATATTCAAACTTAGAAATAGTATTAAAGTGGTCGTGCCTATCAAGTATATCAAGTATGGCCTAGATCAATGGATGAGGACAGAGATTTGTTCCAGCAGGTAGCTTTACTGCACCTAGTTCTCTTTACTGCACCTAGTTCTCTCAGCTGTCTAGCTTTATATGTTTCCACCCTCAAACCTCTCTTAGGTCTAGTGACATCTACTCCCTCCATTCACTTAAAATTAAATTTTCATTTTTAGTTGATACTTTACGCATATCAAAAAATGACAAAAAATAATTCCTGTTATACCCACATTATTTATTACTCATTTCAAATCCAATAAAATATGGATCAATTAATATGATATCATGGTAAATTATACACTTCATTTATTATTTCTTAAGGGACATGAAAAGTCAAAACGTGACAAGTAAAAATAAACGGAATGAGTATAAAAATAAACCTTCTTTTAGCTAGTAACTTGTTCTTACTTAGAAAATCATAGTAGTTAATAAGGTTAATTATGTATAGATGGACATGGTGACCATTGTACTATGTGAAATATATGTAAATCAACAAAATGAACACTTTCAATTGTACTTAGAAACGACTCTTAAATTTAGATTCAATGAATTAGAATGAGTAATCTTATTACATTTAAAGATTTGCTTTTGCATATATAAACAGAGTACAAAGCGAAAACAATAAGTTCAGTCGAATACATAAACCTCGCCATAAATCCTTCTTTCCAAGCTTAGATCCATCTTGTTGGAAACAATTTTTTTTTTTTTTTAAATACAAATCAACAACCACAATTGCCCAAAAAAACGGCCCTTTAATGCAGGTGGGATGTAGGTATAGAGTAGTTGGCTAGCCCTCTTGACCAAATTAAAATACCCATAGGCCGTAAAAACAAGCTCTGTTAATCACAATGAAGGTACAATATTACTATATTTATATAATACCATAAGCCAACTGAATTATTTTTCTCAAAAAGGAATAGTAGCTATTATGAGATATAGGAAAAAACAAAGCAAGTGGCCTGGGTACGGTAGATCATATGTATTTAGGGACAAAGATAGAATCATGATTAGCACAATTCCAGCCTTACACTTCCCCACCATTCACATGCCTTGTTTTCTCTACGCATTTATTCACATTATACAGAAAATAATACATTCTTCTTATACTATTCTTGCCCAACCCCTCCCCGTTCAATTTCCAGTTTAGGTTTTTTTTTTTTTGGTTTTCGTTCAATTCGATATCCGATACTTATTTTGGGGATAAACTAAATTGGATTCGCGCATAAAAGTCTCATTTTAAGATTAATTGATCTCTAGCAAAGTCAATTTTTTATACGTAGCTCAAACTTAAAATATCGGATTAAGAATAAATAAATACTTAGAGATTATTTGGTACAATTGTGGGATATGCGATGGGTATAATATCTCATTGGTTTAGTTAAACTATTTTCTATATGGGAAAACTAACCACGCTATTTTAATGTAGAAGTTATTCCCGAATTAACTAATACTTCAAACCACACGTAAGATAAAGTTAATCCTTATCCCATGTATCAAACCACCATATATGACCTTTGGTATAAATATAATTATAGAGTAATAAGTAAGGGCATAATAAAAAAAATAGGAAACAATCCCACCATAACAAATTCGTTATTTCATAAAATGAGACTTTTCATTGTTCCGAAACAACGAATTTAACAATACAATACAATCAATTTTAAATAAACAATCAAAACAAATATTATAATTTTGAGATAACAATACAATACGATACACTGGCTAACAACCATCCAAACAACATTCTCGAATCGTAACTACAAAACATTGTTTTTGCAAAAAGAACTGCTAATATACTAGTAACTTTTAGAAAACTTAAACAAACACTGATTTAAAAGAAATTCAAAGCAAAGTATTAAAAATTCATGGACGAAATGCCAGGCGTTAAACGTATATGATATACTTTAACTAATTCAAAATTATGTATGTTTAGTGAAATATTACGAGTATCAAAATAAGTGTCAACTATAAGTAGAAAATAGTTCGCCTAGTTTCACTCTCTCCCATGTATACTTTCTTTTCTCACCATTCACATGCGCGATTTTAGCAATTTCTCAAATTCAAAAAAGGAATTTATAGCACAAAGTGCGCCGTTCCACACATTGTCTCGTACTTATCGCTCAATTTCCATGCATATCGCTTGCGCCTCTCTTTTTTTCCTCCACCTCCTTGCGCCGTTTTCCAATTGACTTCGTTCGTGCCAACCGAATCCTTACACGTGCCAACAGATATTTCTTTACATAAAAAATATTACTCTTCCCGGTTCACAATAAGTGTCCAATTTATTTTTTCATTTTGGTTCAAAATAAGTGTCAAGTTATGTATCAAGAAAGAATTCAAATTGTTTTTACAGAATAACCCCTATGTACACATCTCTAAAAAGTTTTCTTACTCCTCACATTAAATGTTTAATTAGGGATAATTTAGTTATAGTAGGTATTTTTATATAGAATTTAATATTTTTTTAATGGACATGCTAAAAGCAAATTAAACACTTATTGTGAACGGAAGGAATTACTACCTTAATTCGAGATGGTTGTACCTCTATCTCGTGAAACTCGAATGCATAGGATAAAAAACTCAGCAAAAATGGGCCCCATGCTTACCACCAATAATTGATCATTCTCCTAATCCCCTCTGTATTCCTGCTGGCAATATTTGCCTTAGCCCCTTCTTCTTCTTCCTCCTCTTCTCTTCTCGCTCACAATTCAATCTTTGCCTCCACCATTTTTCTCTCTCCTTCAAACCCTATTCTTAAACCCTAAATTTCTTGTTCCCTTTAAAAAGTTCAAAACTTTTTCTTTTTCCTATGTGTTAACACGACCAATTTTAAGAACACCAAGATGCTGCAACATTTTTGTCTTGGTCGATTTTCTGCGATGTTTCTTCTTCTGTTATGTTCAATTTTCGCAGTATTAACAACTGCAGAATCATCAATATACGAAGTTCTTGAATCCCATGGATTGCCAAGGGGTTTACTTCCAAAGGGTGTGAAGAATTTCACATTAGACAATTCGGGGAAATTTGTGGTCCATTTGGATCAAGCTTGCAATGCCAAATTCGAGAATGAATTTCACTATGATAGGAATGTATCGGGTACAATAAGTTACGGACAGATCCATGCACTTTCAGGAATTGAGGCTCAAGATTTGTTTCTATGGTTTCCAGTGAAGGATATTCGGGTTGATATACCCAGTTCTGGATTGATTTACTTCAACGTTGGCGTTGTATCTAAGCAATTCTCTTTGTCTTCATTTGAGACTCCTAGGGATTGTACTGCTGTTCAACTCATGGATCTTCAGGATGACATGCACATAGCTGACGCTGTTTCTAAGGTCTTTTCTCTTTCTTGATTGGTTCTTTTCTAAGTTGACCATTTTCTGCTCGAGTTTCTTTTGCTTATTTTGTTTGGAAAAATTGAAGACAGTAATTTGGCTACATCTGTAAGTCCCCTGTAACTCAGGAACTTGGGCCAAGGTTTGAACTTGTCTGTGAAAAATTTATTCCCCAAATGGATTGTTGAATCTAAGCTTGGTTATTTTAATCAAGTGCATAGTTCTTTGCATTATTTGGTAACTGCCTCATTTGTTATTGCTGGCTGATTATTCCAAGCACTGGCCTTTTCTTGTTCAATTTGGATGTTGTATATAAATATTTTGAAGCTAATGAAATGTTCACATAATGTGCTTTAAGTAGTATATATGTATCTGCTTCTGCATTTTGATGTTCATTTTGTATAAGTGTCCACTGTTTGTTTATTAATTATTGGAATTGTCATTTGTTGAGCAGAGTCAATCAGAGGAGCTTCGATACAAGTTTGATCAGGGCAATATCTGGAGGAAGGCTATATTGTAGAAATAAGCAGTTCAAGATGGTTGATTCAGTATAACACAATAGCTCAATCAAGTCGTCGTTCGGTGTCAGTCATTCCTTCTATTATAAATGTTTGAAGATGGTTTCAGTTTGGTTTCGCAAGGTCTCTCATGTGCTTCAAACAGATTGTGCTGTTTCAGTTGCGGTTTCTTGTATAGTTGCAAAAATAGTAATGAGCATATGAGACAATCATCAGATGAGTTGAGCTATAGAATGATATGCCATTATTGGGCATCTCATAATGAATTTGGAGGCTGGTGGGAGGGAATATAGAAAGGTTTGTTTCTTTGTTGGATTCGTTTATGAATGTGGACATAAATTGTTATTAGGTATTCACTTTTTGCAGTTGGAGATATAGAACATGGAACAATGGAAATAAATTTGCTTTCTTTCTTTATGTATACTACTGAGTACCATTTTTGTCTCTGTACCTGTGATGATTGTGATTTTGCTTTGAATAGGGGCTGAGTGTGTTAGAGGACATTAACTGCAGTTGCTGGAATTTGAAGGAAATAATTCAGAGAAATTAGACTAATACTAGTAACATTACTTAACAAATTGGCACATGCAGCTTTCTTTTTAAATAAATAAATTCCCTCTTGTTGGACAGTTGTCTAAAATTAAATATGTAATGCCGTGGGCATATTTAATCAAGAAGTGAAAAGGTTGTGCTGGATAGGCCAGTTGGATAAAGAGCAAATTGTGGTTGGCACTTGGCACTGCAATCTGTAGAAAATGTCTGGTCCAAGCTTTCGAGTTACAAGAATATTTGTTTTATATGTATGTGGTCTCTGACTAAATGGTTATACGAACTCCATATCTTAGGAGAAAACATAGTTTCATGTGTCTCTCTCTCTCTCTGTCTCATCAATATAATAAGAGGGAGATTTCCTATTCACTAAAAGAGGGCATCTCGATGTATGGTTGGCTTGGAATCTGTATAGTAGGTTATACTTATAACCTAAGGCATTTGTTGGATGTGTGGTGTACCAGTTAATTAGGTATAATTTGGCTATCTTGGTTAATTATATACTAGTAGTATAGTTAGTAGTAGTAGTCTTAGAAAGCATTTTTGTCTTTTGTCTCAAGTCTTTTTATTGAATTAATTGATGAAAGCTAAAATTTGACAGGTTGGTTTTCCACTTACTCTTTGTATGTTTTGATTGGGAAAACCTTTGTGGCAACAGGGATGAGCACGAACTTTTCTGACAATCATTTTGTTGTCACAGCATCCCCATGCTTTGTTTGGTACTTAAACTATATATTGACTTACGTCATGTTGTTTTGGGCTGTTCTGTCATTATCTAACAAATTCCGTAGATGATTAAAAGTGCCAGCTTTTCGTTAGTGTAATAGTAGCAATCCAACAAATAATATACATGTGATTGGTCTATCCTATTTAAGGCTTTAACCCTTTGCTTAATTGCATGTCTAATTTTCTCACACTATACATGTGAATGCTAAAAAATGCGACAATCATAAAATAAAAATAAAAAAGCACTAGCAACATAAATTGCGAATAAAGTAATGTTGTAAAGTTAGAACATTGAAAATGACGCATATATAATGGAAACAGCAAATCAAGATGTTATTAGGGTTTATCTTCAAGCTTCTTTCAAGTAAAAGGCCTTTGCGGCGTGGTACAAAGTAAGAAAAGCTCAACAAGATGAAAGTCAAGGAAGCAAGTGAAAAGCTAAGAGGAGAATATTCAGCCGGCTAAGTTTGTCAATTTTTCTTACTTCTCATGCCTTCAAGATATATTTGTCAGTTTAAGTCTATCTTTAGAACGAAAAAGTATTTTTAGCCATCAAAAAACTTAAAAAAGATCAAAATTGCTCTTGAACTATACAAAATAATACAATTATACTCTCCGTTAAAGTTGGTAGCTTAAGTAGGCGTTTGGAAGTAAGAATTATAAAATTCGAAAAAATGGTAAAAAAAAAAAAAAAATTCAAGTGAATATGGTATTTGACATTTAGAGTTGTGTTTTGACATAAATTTTTGTTCGGGTTGTTTTTGAAGTTTTGTGAGTGATTTGAGTGAAAATTTTGAAAAACAATTTTTTGCAGTTTTTCAAATTTTCGAAAATTTTCAAAATACATCTCCTTAGAAATTTTACGAACAAACATTGATTTCGAAATTTGATTGGAAAGTTTTGCCTTCCCTACTGACAGATCCATGTTCTGGATTTTTTACTCTGTTCTTTCATTTTCTCTCTCTATCTTCTTCCTCTCTTTTTGACCTCTATTGAAAAGCCTCGCCCAGGCTTCCCAAAAATCCCAGGCCAAAAAGAGTTTGCATCCACAAAATTCCTCTCTTCAATTGCATAGATGTACTTCAGTAATCCATATTGGATCTAATAATTTATGAAAATGGATAAATCATTGTAGTAATTTATCATTACTTTATTTGTATTTTTTATTGCATTAACCTCCTTAACCTAATAATTGTTCGTCTTGATCTGTTAGTACATAAGTTTTTTTTGGCTATTATTAGGTCCCTTTCTTTCGAAATGACATTGCCATCTTAGCCCTTATAGTCTTTCTCCGTCCAAACTTTTTCCAAATCAAATAATTTAAGACCTGAACTGAAAAAGTAGTTGCACCTAACTACATATTTGGAAAAAATTGCCGAAACTATTAAAATCGAAAGGTATTTCCATAACTCTTGAACAATCACACCTAGAAAGTGCAAGACGATCATAAACTAATAAACAAAAATAATATATATATATATATATATATATATATATATACTAGTACCTATGAGCAAGCGTTGCACGTTAATAGTGGCACGTGATGATTTAAACATTTATTTATATGAAGGACCAATAAAATTTAGTTAATGAGATAAATTTTATGCATAATAATACAATAATCATCTAAATGCCGAAAAATATACTATTATAGTAGTAGCATAATACATGAATTTAAAATAAAAGGACACAAATGATCAATTTTGTCATGTTAGTTAGATAATTATGTATTATAGTTTAAAAGTACTTAATGTGATGGTATCTTAACAAACACTTCTTCGTGGACAATATTTTCTTATGTATGTCTCCTCCTAATGCTTTGGTTGCTCTGCCTTAACCAAACCTCTTGTTGTCGATCTTGATATCCCTGTTGAAAGTGCAACAAACAGTTGTTCGTGAAAGAAAACATATCGCGGTAAATATAGTCCAATATTTAGGATGTTTGTCCTTGTGCTTTATTTATTATATTTGCAAAACATAAACATACTAAAATTATTTTTACACAAATTTAAAAGGATATTCCTTAGTTTCAAAACACGAAAGTTGAATTCAGGGATAAGAATATACTTAGAAGCACATTGACCAGTATCATAATTTTTTCATGTATGACGTTCTTGTCAAAACTTCTATATATCATTTGTATGCTATTACATAAGCTATTCGGCGTATGTAAATTTTTCAGTAGCATGACATACATATTTTTCTTTAAAATCAACTTATATACAATGGAAAATCAATTTTAACTTAGTCTATTCAATATACGGTGACACCAACATAGGTAAGAAATAATAAACTTGACAACAAACATGTATGGTAGAAGGCCATTTGGTATTAAAGTATTTAAGTATTCTTCTTGGTAGTAATTATTGGTATCATTTTCTGCTGAGCCAAAACAGAAAAGCATTTTGTTTTTACTATAAAATTTTGCAATCAACATTTTATTTAGTTGATCAACATATTCATTTCTGCTAGCTAAGATATTTTTTAATTCTATCATGCGATTTGCACAAATTACATTTTGATCTAATTATGAAATATTTCTCTAATTAAATGCACTACTATTGCCGTTTTGATTGATAACCAAGTTCAGGAAGAACCAACTCATCTTTTATTGGATGCTCTTTTTGTTTCCGACACGAAGCAAGAAGACACTGTATACTAGATCTGTTCTTACTTTATATTTCTTGTTTGATGAATCTTTTTATTTGAGGCCAGAAGTATAACTTTGGCAAGCTAGCTTTTACGGTCTCTGCTTTTGTTGATTTTGGAACTACTGGCAGTACTTGACATAAATTACCTCCAAAATCATTAATTTCCACCAAACAGTTCATTAATATCCAATATATCTCTAGAACTCCGGGCAATTATTTCGATCATTTGACACTTAGCCATAAGTGTTTCATCCCATATTATCAATTTTGCTTTTCTTATAAATTTATCACTATTGCTCTACTGTGATATATTTATGATGGTTATTTAAGTTGTTTGAAGAGGTATATCAAATCTAAAGTGGGTGATCTCACAATAAAATCGTTATTTGTACACCACTTGCTATTATTGCTAACAGTGTCATGCTTCTTGATATGATATTTGCAAATAATGCATGATATAGAAATATTAAATTCTCATGTGATCGATCCCAGTTAAATTGCAACTATCAATTTCTTGGAAGTCTTTTTTAATTTTACCAAATCCGTACGTGCTCCAATGAATGAGGCAATGCACTCCTTTACATAGGCAGTATGAAGCGGCGGTGGAAATTATCTATTCTAGTCCAGGTGAAATTTATATATATGACTATGGAACATAACAATGGGTAGGAATCTTGCTTTATATATGAACCCCATGCGAATTAGTATTAACTAGTAAAAGTTTTCAATGTCACAATTTTATCCGCACATGAAATTATATTAAAAATAATATGATTACATTTTTAACTGAGCTAGCTACAGCTGTAATTCATACATGCGGTGAAGCTTCATAAATGAAACAGTGAAATCGAGTAAAAGAGAACAGGAGAGAAGAGATAAAGAAGTTTCTAGATCATTTCTGTTTTTCTGTTATGATCCAAGAAAGAGATCCGTGTGATCTCTTTTATCCCTAATTACAACTGCTATGATTTCTCCTATTTACAAACTACTCCGTTCTAGTTTCTTGTAGGTCCCTTAACCCCTTTTCTTTAATACTCCCATTCAAGCTGGAGAGTGGAAAACATCCAACACTCCCAGCTTGGACAGAAGCGTTTGATGCTGTGCAGTTCCCAGCCCTTTAGTGATAAGGTCTGCCAGTTGTATTTTTGTGGGAATGTACTGTGGTGTGATCAATTCACTCTTTAGTTTTTCACTCACAAAATGACAGTCTATCTCTATATGTTTAGTCCTTTCATGAAATATGGGATTTGTAGCTATTTGCATAGCTGTCATGCTATCATAGTGCAAACTTACTGGTGTTTGTACTTTGTTTCCTAGTTCATCCAATAAATCAACCATCCAGATACTCTCTGCCACTACAGCTGCCATACTTCTATACGCTGCTTCTGCCGAGCTTCTACTGATAGTCTGATGTTTCTTTGACTTCCAGGACAATAGAGAATCTACCAGCTTGATCACATATCCTGTCGCAGACCTTCTGGTGTTGGGGCAGGGTGCCCAATGCCTAATCTAAGTCAC